ACATTATGCCCTCAATATCGCTTTAATATTTAGGTAAATTTTCGTTTTTCATTTTCTCCTTGTGCTTTTTATAAAAATTGCAAAACTTAATATGCTTACAATCTTCGATTCAAAAAGCTTGGCGACCTTTTTTATTTTAACATAAACAAAAATTAGCGTATTTCCTTTTTCTCTAACGTTTTTGTCATATTTTTTCCGAAAATAAGTTGTGTATTTAGTTATCAATGCGTTTCACTCATTAGGGGTTTGATTTTAAAGAATTACATATGCACCTTCATATCAAATTTTGTTTTAGTTACAATACTGTGTACATTTCCTAAGCACAGTGCAATTAAGTAGAAACCTTTACTTCAGTTCATATGTTTATACACAACTTTAATTCCTTACGCGTTAAAAAATTACGAAACTGTTTAAGCAAATAACAGGAAACCAAAGCGCTAGTTGAGCCCTTCTTTTTCGTGTACTAATTAGAGGCAGGCTTATGTCTATTAAAAAAAAAAAAAACTGCAAACACAGGTGAACATAATTCCGAAACCATTTGCTGGGATTTCAAAGCAATCCGTATTATCCGCTTGAGCAATCGCACTCTGAATTGCACCTCACGAAGGATGTACAAACAACTTTGCGCAAGTTTCGGTTGTTCCCACGTCTACTCGTTGCTGATGTTGATAGGAATCGGCCGTTTGATGCTTTGAAAAACCGAAGGTTGCGATGTCGCAGATATGCTTCTGAACCATGTTTGCAGACTATGATGAATAATACATTCTTTGGAAATCTTTCAACAGAAAAACGACTCTTCAACCACATCAGCTATTCCTTTTTTAAACAAGCCACAATTTAATTAATTACCTACTGGTCGCCAGAGAAATCAACTAAATGATCTCTTTCAATATAAATAGGTGATATAAAAATACTTTTTTATTCAATTCTTCCATCTGCTTTTTAAGTATGAAGCAATAAATATCGGGGATATATATGTATATACATACATGGGAAAATCGCAAATTATGGGCATAGATATTTATTATCATCATAGTCATAGTAATGTAGTCAGTCCGACGACCGATTGGACACTCACTACGACTACTTCTTATTTTGAGCCAAATTCCTAGACTTCAATATACTGCATTAGTAACCAACTCTAGGTCTTCTACCTCTCATTACTTCTGTTCTAGCAATCTATTTCTCGTTTTCCTTAATGAATTTCCCCAAGTAGGTACCCTTTCTTCTCCTACTCTTTCCAATTCCTCCTCATTTCTAGTCTGCTCCGTCCAAAGTATTTTCATCATCCCTTTAGAACACCACATATCAAACTATTCTTCTCTCAGTTTAATTTAATTTCAATTTAATTCATAAATATTTACATATACAGTAAATTGGAAGGTTAGATAACAACGTCTTGGGTTATGATCATGGGCGTACTCAGGGGGGACAGGGGAAGGCAACTGCCTCCCCCCTGGAAATCTCGCAGAAAATGTATGAACTCGCCTAATCACTAATCAAAGTGTAATCGGTGCTAACTTCTGAATAAACCACGCAGTAGACACGGTGCAATTGCCATAAAAAAACATTATTTACGTATCATTTTTAAGCAAAATAAGCTCCCCTCCCTCCCCAAACATTCTGTACTGATTATTTTTAATTATAATAATTTATTATGCCCTCTAACTTTATGTACTATGTCGTTAACAACTAAACTAAACTTCACACATTAAATAAAACACCCTGTATTTAGTCACTAGAGTAAAGTATATGTCAGTACATGTTGTAATTCTAACGGTCTGTATATTCCTTTTAAGCTTTTGTCAAAATTACGCAATAGAATTACCTTATAAAGGTAATCTACATTATTTTGTTGGGAGACATCAACGTTCGATTAGGCGACGAACCTTTCTACTAAATCCCGTTAGAGCTTCATTTTTTTCAAACAGTACACATCAGGTACAGTCGAAACGTTATATATAGGTATTGGTTATGTTTCTCATGAATAATTTACACGTATAATGTTGTTAAATAGCATATTAAATTTATATGGCTGCCTATTACTAATAAAATACGAATAAACCATTTCTATCACAAAAAGTTATAAGTAATCAATAAACTGGTAGGCCTTTATTATAAACTAAATGTAATATAAAATGAAATGAAATGAGGAAATCTATGTACATAATAGTCCAAGTCCGCTAACGCTTTTTAAACAGTTATCTAGACATCTCGTAATTGTGTAATCAAACATATCAACATAATTTTCGAAATTATGCGTTTATTTCTGACATTTGTGAGTTTTGTTTATCCGCTTGTAAATTGTTATAAAAAGGTAAATAATTAGCTTGTCGTAGTGTAATTTAGCATAGATATTCTAGAATAGTTGTAGAGTACCTGTGCCTAAATGATTGAAATTAAAATCAATCACTATCAGAGAAGGTTAGAACTGAAGAGGTTTTAGAAAGAATAGATCAGAGGACTATGCAAGTCAATAAAAAGTAGACGAGATAGGTTAGTAGGACATCTTCTCAGGCATGAAGGTCTAGTCAGAGACATATTAAAGGCAGAAACACGAGTTAAGAGTAGTCCTAAATTAGATTACTATTCGCAAATAGTTAAAGATGTGGGTTGTTCTAGTTTTAGAGAAATACGAAGATTAGCTCAGGATAGGAAGGAGTAGATGTCCGTGTCCAACCCGTCTTAGGACTGACGACGTTATGATGATGTGGGATTCTTTTGTTTCAACCACACAATTTGAAACATAAGGGTTACCTAATTTGCGATAGGAAAGACTCTGTAATTCGATATCCACAATTAGGAATCCAATTAAAAATCCGGCTTTAAAACGTTTTTATCAATAAAACATTGGCTGGTAGTGACAAACATTTTGTTTACGTGTGTAATTTTTGCATTGAAAAATAAACTCCCAATTTTTGATAGGGTATCGAATTTAAGGAACCCTTTTTTAAAATTTGAAAAAGTGTCTTTTTCTACTTTTGACTATTTTTTATTCTCTATACGATTGAAGTGAATATTTATTGATTGAGGTAATAGCATATTCTTAGTGCAAAATAATTATTGATTACTAAAATCATTACAACAAACGAACCAGCAATACGTAATGCAGTAACACTGTCTATGCATGTATCAAAATGCACAATTCACATGCAACTCAAATAATATAAAATTTATTTACCTTTGTAAGTGTTTATTATTATAATTATCATTATCACTATACGCGTAACATTATATCTTGTTACCAAAAGTATTGATTTATTAATACGAATGTGTGAAGTGTTTATTTTGATAGCATATAATGTTTCTCTAACTATCTGCTTTAGCAGTGTTGTACTCATTTGTATATAACCCGTTGAATGTTTGTCGAAGAATGTCATCTCGTTAGATACACAGGTAACGCAAACAACTTTTCCTAATAACGAAGAATGCCATACAGCGTCATTAGGATGAACAAGTATTAGGTATTGCTTAATAATGAGCTTAACGGTTTACTCTGTAAATGTCTAATGAATTAAAGTATAATAGCTAATAGAAGAGCTTTTACCACACATAGAACTGATTGACTCACACACTAAGAGGAATTTATCTATTAGTATCTGTAACTAAAGCTTGCTGCTATATCCGCACTACAACTATTTCATCACACAATAATTTTATCAGATACAAGCACCGAAACGCTGAAACTATTAAGAACGTTGTAAAGTAGTAAGAAAACTATTAGAGAATAATCCAATAAGCATCAGCTAAACTTTCAATGTAGTAACCAGCTATATTTTTCGAATGAATCAAAGCTGAGTCCCTGACGTTGTCGATTTCATATAACACAAGACGCCTTGAGTTCCATGAAATGGGCAATATGAACTCACAAGTATATGTTGGCAATCTCACATACATCAAAACGCCTTGAGTTCTCTAATTTCTCTGATAATATTACTACATATTTTCGTACTGATACAGACATCCTAGAAGCAGAAATAGGAGCTAGGATAAGTAGATTCGATTACTGTTCATAAATAGTTAAAGATGTGGGATATTCTACAGTTTTAGGGAAATGCGAAGATTATCTCAAGATGATGATGATGGTGATTTTGATGATATTTCGCACCTGGCCAGGATAAATAAGGAATTCCTCTGGACCGCATGTATATTTACTACCCTGGCACATATGTTATTTTTTACCTCCCCTCGACCAGGAAGTAAAATTTTGTTGTGTTTCATGTTCATCGAGAAAAAAACTGTCTTAATACAAAGATAAAGCTCAAAAGTTATGAAACTTTTTGTTGTCCTGTCTGTGGGTAACTGTTAAATTGATATTATTAAGCGAACCCTACTGTGTGTCTTATCAAAATTAGTTTGGTAGAGGCTGAAATATAATTTATTAATGTTAAAGCAAAAGAAATGACCAAACGCAAACCTCTTTCAATGATACCTACCACGGGCAAACACTAGCATAGTGTGATCCAAACTTTAGAAAATTGTTATAGGTATTGGAAAAAGTATTTATCCCACCTTTCCGCAGTTTCTTAATGAAGTAAGTAGGTAATTTAAATATAATGGGTAAATTTTTAGCGATGCATTAATTCAAGTACACGAACAAGTGATGTTCAAAATATTTTGTTTCATGCGAGGTTACAACAAAGTGAATTGTTCGAGATAATTATTATATAATGACCGCATTCGCACACTGGCCTGAAGCTAACAATTTTCAACAATGGTTGCTAAAGCTTAGTTCTCTGAGATTCCCATTGTCAAAACATCTAATCCTGAACATAACTGAAAGTAACGAGAGCCTGAATTCTTCGGCTTATCAATATATGAAAATCAAAACAAAAGTAGCAATTTACGATTTCAATTTGTAATTAGAAACATGCGTGACCCAATTATTCATTTAATTGCTTGAAATCCACATGAAAATTTATTGGAATAGAAAACTAACATTAATTTTACAGTTATAAAACTTACATCGTCAAGTTTCTTCTGTTTAATAAATCACTTAAGTGAAATTAAATTAATTTTTGTTTCCTTTGAAAATATTTTTGATTAAGTACATAATTGTAGATTTTGTTTAAAGTGAGGTTTCCTAAACCTTTCCTAGTTTAATGCTGATTAATATAAAACTCGTTTTTAAGACAAAAATAAACATGTGATGCTCGATTCAATTGAAATTCGTTAGAAGTCAGAAAACTTTACAAGCAGTTTACCTTCAAAACTAAACAGTTGCTAATAATTTTGGGAAATTATAAAAGAGGAATTTAATCGGAATTGGAATAATAATTTTTTAATTGATGATAGATGAAAAATCACCTCAAAATTAATAAAATCTTAATTTTGACAATAGTGATTAATTAAATAACTATTAAGTAAAGTTTAAAACAAGAAAAAGTGATACGAGCAAGGACAAAAACTCTTAAAAATATCTAAAATATTTGTACTTTGTTGCCCAAGAAGCATAAAATTGAATTAAAAGAATTCGAGTAAATTTTTAAGTACTCCGAAAATAATCTTGATATACGTACAATTGATTGCATTTTACATTTAGAAAACACGGACTCAAAATTTCAAATTTATTGCCAATTTCAAAATTCTATACTACCTAAAAATTTGATACTATTGTAAAGTAAATAAATAATAATATATCCATTTAGCATAATTCCGAAACCATTT